TAAAAAACAAAAACAAGCACCAGGTAGGATGCTGGTGACAATTAACACCACTAGACCATGTTGTAAAATTTCCTCCAAACTATAGTATTTGACTTGTCACTGTCCACTTCATAAGTGGTAATTTGCCTTAAAAGTAGAATCTGCATGTATAATTTTATCAAAATACACGCAACTATTATGTATAACTATAAAGAAACAATTTAAAAAATTAAATTTTAAAAAGCAGAACCAATAAAAGTAGACTACTTCAAGAATTTAAGCATCCAGCATTCAAATAATTGTTAATCAATGCATAAGAAAATTCCAAATACTACTGAATAAGTATGTAAATAATATTTACCTAGGTCATATTTTAAAGTACAGGTGGATTTATTTTCTGTTGAAATAAGACTGAGAAACTGAACTGAATTTTTACACTTAACTACAATAGAAAATATTTATCTTTATAACTGTATAAAAATATTATGAAAATTTATGTCTACATATTAATTCAGACAAAAAATTAAAGTTTGAAACAGAGTACTTATGAAATAAATCCTAGTACAAAATTAGAAACACCAAATGCATTATAAATTATGGTACTTATTATTGGTTAGAATATGTTGATAATTAAGCTAAAGTCCTGCACTTAATTCCCGGATGTACCAGTTTATTCTGCTTTGTTTCAGAGACACAGGCTGAATCACAATTTGCAGCTGTCTTGGGAATGAGCATTATTGATCACAAGGGGTATAGAGCCAACATGTAGATGGATTAGTCCAATTCCATTACAATAACAGGAAAAACAATTCTAAGCACATTTCCTGAAGAGAGTGGGTCAGCAGCTTAATTTCTGTTTCAGTTTGGCATTGAGCATGTGTCCCTCATAGGCAGATGCTTAATGACAGTTCTTTGTCATGCTAATAATGATTAAGAAAAGATACATTTTAAAACTATATAGCAGCTTTCTAAAAACAGGTAATTTTAAGACTGTGAGATTCATGAATAATATAATCAATCATCCAAATATTAGCTCCTGAATTATTCAGTCTGGAATTATTAAAAAGTATATCGTAAATGTTCTGATTGAGAGTCTTGCAATCTTGCTTTCTGGTATAATGTAACAGCAATTATTTATAACATATGGGGGGTATGTAATTTCATAGCTCAGGTAGGAATTAGGTTATTAATTTCTGACTTGGCATATGTTTCAATTTTCAGAAAGGGAGGGTAAAAAAAAAGATGAAATGTGCATTCTGAGGAGAAATAGTCTTAAATAGTCCAAACACTTGATTAAACTTTTAACCTTACAAAGCATTCCCCTTTTATACAGTCTGCTGTGTAACACCATCCCTATTTACATGTCCTTGAATTTACCTGTCATCTTATTATTAGGTCAAATAAAGAAACTGTTCTAACCAGTAAGATTAGGGCCATGAGTATGTTGTGATGCTATGTTTATGAAATATTAGATATTAAATGGCTGGGCATGGTAACACATGCCTGTAATCTCCAATGGCTCAGAAGGCTGAGACAGGAGGATCTCCAGTTCAAAGCTAGCCTCAGCAACAGCAAGGGGCTAAGCAACTCAGTGAGATATTGTCTCTAAATAAAATACAAAATAGGGCTGGGGATGTGGCTCAGAGGTCAAGTGCCCCTGAGTTCAATCCCTGGTAACCATAAATAAATAAAAAGAAAGATAGAAAGATAGATAAATAGATAGATAGATAGACAGATAGATATTGAATGTACTAAAGACAGAGATCACCATTTTACTTCAGTGAGGGGAAATAAATGCAGGGAAAAAAATCTCAGAATATGTAGGACAACTGGAATACAATATAGTGGATAAAGCTGTTTTCTCATATTTCATGTTAAATAGTTTTTTAGGCATTGTAATTCTGTTTTATAGCATTATAGAGAGAATTATGAATTTTTATAGTTTTATTAGTAGTTTTATGTTATATTATTTTTATGTTCTTAAATCAAATACAGTTTATAACCATATGTAATTTAATCCTTATTTAAAAAAAAAAAAAACTTGTAAGGTGACTAACATTATCATTGTTTTATGACATGTACAAAAGTTGTTCAAGGGCACCAAACTATGATAGCCTTGAGTTTTAAACAACTAATAACACATGAACTTTTATGACTTGTCAGTGCCAAAGATTTAATTGTTCTACCATATCTAGTTTTTATTTTTTATGTCATAGTACAAAATTCAAACGGGCACACTGTTGGCTAGCTAGACCACATTTTTGCAGGGACTCTGTATCAGTCATGCTAGATACATAACTGAATTCTAGCCTAAAATATGCATGCAAATATTCAGTTACATCTTATTTTCCATCCAAATATTGGAGTTAGGATGTAATGGCAAGGGTAGAACCAGCCATCTTGAACCAATAAAATGGAAATCACATTTTGAGAATGGCTGAAAACAACATATGTGAAAATTCAGTCCTCAAGAGTTTCAAGTTAATATATCAATCCTAGACAAACTGCCCACATGTTTCTGTTTGTTTCAGATGCATTTATTTATTTATTTATACTTTATATTCCACATGGTGTAACTCTTTAATAAAGCAGCCTGTATAATATATTATGACTAAAATAACACTGTCCATACCCTTCTTAATAGATAATAGCACTTTTAATTGTGAATCTTATGATTTCTTCTATATCAAGATGTTTATGATTTATGAAGATATTGTAATGCTAGAGAAGAATAAACAAATAAATCTGCCCTCAGTCTCTCCATTCTGGATAGAGGATATGAAAAATAATCCCAGAAAGAATTTACATTCCCAATCCCCTACCTGCCCTCCTGCCCCGCCCTAAATGACCCTGCCACCAAAACTCCTCCCATGATTTGGATCTACCCACTGCCCCTCAAAAGCGCCTGCCAAAGTCACTAACTCCTCCCATGGGCTGGTTCTGCTATAAAACCCAGACCCTCCTTTGGCCTGCCGCCATTTTCCCCACAAAGACATACCCCTCAGGTGCACAATAAAGCATCACTTATCCATGAGTTCTGCCTCCATTTTTTTTTTGTATTCCCTTTCAGGTGCTTTCAGGAGATGTCATAATTTAAGAATGTATTAATAAGAATGTGATTCAAAACAATAACATTTTACTCAGTTAAACTTCACATGACTTGCACAGAAGAGATATGTCCACATATCAATCACATTTACAAGAGATATGTCCACATATCAAAACCTCCAATGGTCTAAAACTGATACACAAACAACAACAATAACAGCAATTATAACAATAAATAAAAGCAAAAAAAATTACTCAATGATGAATAAATTACACAGTGGAAACTTCACATAGTGAAAACCTTACTCTAGGGCTGCTGCATCCCTTGGCATAAAAATGTGGCAAAATGTATCTAGTTGCTTCTCCGAAAATAAAAAACTACCCAACTAGAAGTACTAGGCAGAAAGTGGGAGTAAAGAGAAAACCTACTCTAGATGAAGATTTATTATAATGAAGATATCTCCAGAACTAAAGTACTACTTAGTGTCATGATATAAAAATAATTTATCTTGGGCTGGGGTTGTGGCTCAGTGGTAGAGCGCTTGCCTTGTATGTGTGAGGGCCTGGGTTTGATCCTCAGCACCACATAAGGATAAATAAATAAAAATTAAGATAGTGTGGCCATCTACAACTAAAAAATATATTTTAAATAATAATAATAATAATAATAATAATAATAATAAATAATTTATCTTCATTTGGGTATTAAATATTTTTAAAAAATTTTTTTTCAGTGCTGGGGATTGAATCTAGGACCTTGTGCATGCTCAGCAAGCTCTCTAACACTAAGGTACTCCCCCTCAAACAATTATTTCTTTACAGCATTCATTTTAATAGACTCCCACATTTTACCTATAAATCATTAATTTTAATTTTTGTAATTATTAAGCAGTTAAAAAATTAGCATATATATATACTATACATACATAATTTCAAATAATTTTCCTCATGTAAGATAAGAAAACTAAGTGATTCAAGTAATTTCATTATATGGATATTAAGAATTATTAGTGACTTTAGAAAGAAAGTTATCACTTTTAGTGTTTCATATTATTCAATTAGATATTTACTGGATGAAGCATAAAGACAATTTGTGAAAGATTTAAAAAAGCTGGTGCTGTGTAAAATTTAGATGGACATTTTATATTTACATATTAGATATCACAAAATATTTATTTTTCAATAAAAAATAAGGCAATAAAACACACCTGACGTACATTCCATAGTGATATTAACCACAAACTACTAATGCAAACTAGTTACCATACCTATGTTATCCAAATCCACTGCACAGCAATTACACCAGAAATCCACAACTCCTACAAAAGAGACATTATTCTACCTTGTATTTTGATAGCCACATATTTTTCTCTTGCTGAGGATCAGCATGACTCCATATGTACAATACAGCACTGCACAACGGATTACTCAATAATTGTCAAAGTGTGACTTCCAAAAGAGCAAATTAATTTTTTTTTGTAATAAAGCAAAATACCAGGTGTTGCCTTGCACTGTCAGGAGATCTGCCCTTGCTTTCCACCTGACTGCACAAGAAAACATCTTGTAGATGAGGCAGAGACACTGATAGGTAATGACAGTTTTCTCAACAGTATTTCTGCTTTGAAGAATGTCAAAGGATTAGGGCACCTTTATGTCAGTGATTGGAAAGAAAATTCTTGTTTGACAAGTACAGTATGCCGTCCAAATTCTTGTAATTTGACTGTTTACAACATATGGGAAAATGTCAGACATGCAGTAAATATCAACACCAAATAATATATGTGCTCTCCGTTTTGTCTGTAAGACTAAAGAAATGATTTTACTTTACTTCTGTAAGAGGCCTGCTGTATTTCATGGTGAATACATGTTTGCTTATTTTTAGCCAACTATTAATAAAATACTTTAAAATAGGGTTTCCTTTAAAAACTATAATTAAATGAAACTTTTAAAAAGTCTGATATGTACAATCTTACCAGGTGAAGATAAGGCATAGTAACGTAGATATCAAAATCAAAACTTGGTTAAACATTGCAGACTGCGTACGCTGAATGGCTCTATGTAGATCATTCTAAAATGATAAGGAAAAAAGCATAATGCAACATTTTGATAAATAATAAATGGGCATGAGTTTAATGAGATTTATTTTTATTCATTATATTTCTACTATCTTCTGTCCTCTGTATACCCAATACATATGATTTTAAAGGATTTATGAACGTATTTTGGTTTTGCTTATATCTTTATGTAACTCACTATAGAACCTATATTACAAAGTAATAGTATGTAAAGGTCACTGAAGCACTAAATTTTAGCTTCCTTGCCTTGCAGACATCTGAACAGATGTTGCACTTACTACTCCCAAAACACCCCAATGGTAATGATAATCTTGCATGGAAAATTCAAATTTCCAAAAATCAGAAAATACTATGCCCAACTAAAGGGGCAGTAATAACTGGGTAGAGCTGCAATAAAAGCTCATTCTTTAAAAATATATGACATGAATTATGGTAGGAGTTTTTTCAAAGAAAAAATTATTCAATGAACAAATTATTTAAATATCATTGATACTAATATTAGGAGAAATGTGAATCAAGATTCATTTTTACCTTCATAATATGTAGACAGTAAAGTATAACAGAGACAGTTAAGCTTTTGGTGCAAGAAGTGACTACATGTACAATACTACTCAGTTAATTATTTACAAATTTCTGATAGGCAATTTGATTGCATAGGCTCAAAACTCAGAATTATGTCCTTTCTATTTCATGCACTTATTTATTTATTCACTCATTCAATTTATTCATTCATTCATAATTCCATATTTTCTCAAATTTAATTGTATGAAAATCATGTGATGGGGTACCAATATTTATGTATGTTCATCTCTATTATAAAATTATGACATGAAAACTGAATATTTACTACTATTAAAATATGAAATACAAAATGTTAGATAAATTAATCAATATACATAAAATAGACACATACATTTAAAAATGATTTGAAATGAAACATTTAATAGCATGGCAACTTGTCCACTAGATACCAGTGAGTGGGTGACACAATTTCTAAATACAAAACAAACACACAGTATGATTTTATAATGATATTTTTTTTACATAACAAATATTGGAAATATTGAAGTTATTATGAATTACTTTGGTAGATTTGTATTTTTTTTATTTTTTCCTCTTATTTCACCTTTTTTTGTTGTATTCATTTTTTTATTTGTTCCTTTTACTCTGTAGCTTTCAGTTCATCTTAAATTTTGTGTAAGACTTTAACAGTCTTAAAATCAGTATAGTATGAAAAAAGCTCACCAATTATAAAAGAACCTCAATGAGTCATTATTTATTGTCCTTTACCATCCACTTAAACAGAAATGTTATGAAAACAAATAACTAAATTGATTGATTAGAATTTCATCTCTCAATGCTTAAAAGTTTCCTATGGCAGAGGTGTTAATGAGCAACAAAGCAGATAAAAATTGAGCATCCAATGAGAGAAAGTGAAATAAAATATAGAATGAAATGGAAAATAAATCCTAAATTAATATTGTAACACAGTTCTTTTTTCTCAATTACTGATTAATTGTTCATATTTTGGTTAGGTTATTTTTTCCAACAACTAATTGCATAGTAATTAACAAAAAGATTTATTTTTTCCTCATGTATATTTTTCATTAGCAAGTTTAGCAAGCTATATTTAATCAAATAGTATTTCTTGGGGACAATTAAGACAGTCGAATATTTCTACAGACCACAAGCCATACTCTCTCTCCCATTGTTCATGTTCTTTCATGAGATTCCAGTGGTAACTTGATATAAATGTTTGGAAACATTTATCTGGTAACAAATATGTGTTATTCAAATATTCCTTTTGGCCAAAATTTTTGTCATATTATCTGGTTCAAGACCATTTACATGAAAAGCAAGTTTGTTTCCAAACAACTATAACTTAAATACAGTAAAAATAATACTATTAATCCCTTACTCAATTCATGCCAGATACAACATTATGCACACACAAACATGCTATATATGTATATGTATATATAACTGCATTTGACTTTTGCAGCAATTATGTAATGTAGGTGCTCTTATTTTCTTTTGCAGACAAAAGTATTGGCAAAGAAGTTAAAATCATTTGCCTATTAGAATTTACAGCACAAGAAGGCCCATACTAACATTCGTATAATGAATGACTAAATACCAAATGTCTTACAGCTCACTTGTAAGTATTGAAGTTGATGGGAAATACATTTTGATAGTTTTAAACCATTCTTTCCAAACAAGGTCAGCCTTGGGTAAAATGCAACTATGGCACAATTCTGAATTAAGCATCTCTACCTCATTTACTTTTCTCCCTCCTAAAATCCCTTACAAAACCCAACTCCACCAAATCTAAAATAAACTTTAACTAAAGGGTTTCCAGCTCTGATACAGGGCTTTTACAAAACTCCAGAGATTTTCATGGAACACAAAACTACCTACAAGTAAGGAAAATTTAGCAAAATCACTTCCCTAAATTCTTAAAACCGGGAGTTCCATTGCATGTAAAGAGATGGCCTTGGAAAAGAAGGGCATTTGTGTTCAGAAGATTGTCTACCCAACTGAACTAGTCCAATAGCAGTTAGGTGTAGGTTTGATGAAATCCAAAAAATGTGAACCATTTTTATTTACTAAGCCCTACAAAGGTAGTAACTAGCCAATATAGGCATTTTACAAGTTTTCCTCTTGATCAGCATATAGCAGACTGGTATTTAAACTCAATCAACATACATATTTGTATTGCATATCACTTTAATTATTTAACAATACTTCACCCAATAGTTTATCATTACAAGCATTCAAATAGAACTGTTTGCTGACACCAAATGAAAATGTTTAAAAATGAAACATTTGAAAAAATAATTATAATTAAATACATTCCATATAATTTATATTTTATGGGAAAAGGAATAATGGAAAAGTGCAAAATCGGATCCAAAAACATCATCTGTTTCTGCTTAATCACTAAAAATAAGTAAGAAATAGTAAATGTTTTAAAAATATTTTTCTATTTGTGCTTCACTTTTATACTTACAATCATATTTTCCAAGGCATGTTTGGCAAGCCAACAGTTTAGAAATACTGGAACAAATAAATTCCTCAAGGAAGGCCAGAATATCTAAAAAAAACAAACAAAAACTGACTTTAATCTCAAAGCAGGAAGTTACACCTAGGAGGTTAAAAAAGAAATGCAAAACAGAATAAAATTATTAAAGACTGTGCAATGATTTAAAACAAGGTAAATGCCTTATACTCATTATTAAAGAAACTCAAGGAGGAGATATGATCTTTCATTCATTGTCTAAGTCTTTCTTAGGGAAATTATTACAGAAGCAGAAAGAAAATAATAAGCGCTCATTAGATGTCAGATATAACTATTCTAATTCTATTATTAAATCTTTTAGTGTTAGATTTTATAAAAGACTTTGGCTCTCTCTTCCTCTTACCTAAGATGGTAAGCAGCAACCAGGAGAGAAGGCTTAGTCTTTTATAACATTACCACTGACTGTCTTCAGACTGAACTACTTCAAGTGACATTGGAAAACTACATTCAGTAGAAATTTTATTTATATAGTTAGTTATTTAGCTTGTCATTTAATCTAGTTTCATTTCCTTCTGAAAATAAATCACTCAAATTAAATTATTTGCCAAAACTGATATCTACTTATTTTCAAAATTTTCCAAATAAAATTCAAATAGTGTTAGAAAGTATAATCCCTATAGGCATTGCATCAAATTGAGATTAAAAACTAATTTTGCAAATGTGGAATTTATGGGTTACATATCTGTAGGATTGCACTTGAATAGGTTAATACTGTGGAATAGGGATTGGAGAGTCTGTTGATAAAGAACAAACTATTATCTGTTTCTTGGTAACCTTCTTATTAAAGAGACACTTGGACTTAGTAAATCCTATAGTTAACTAGTGATAAATATGTTCTCAGTATGAGAAACCTGTAGAAATACAGGTTAATTTATTTCTTTTGTGGGGGTAAGGGCAATGGGGATTAAACTCAGGAGTGCTTCACCACTGAGCCATATCCTCAGACCTTTAGAATGAGTCAGGGTCTCATTAAGTTGCTTAGGTCCTCAATAAGTTGCTGAGACTGGCCTTTAAATTATGAACTTCCTGCCTCAGCCTCCCAAGTCACTGGGATTGCAGGCATGTGCCACCACACCCGGCTTGTTTCTATTTTTTAAATTCCATCACATAAACAAGAAATGGAGCAAGTAATTTTGAGTCTCTTCAGACAATATTGACATTTGTTCAAATATAAATTTCTAGAATTCCATTTTGCTATTGCACTGAATTACATTAGATTTCCCTGAATTAACAATTCATTATCCAAATGACTTCTTATTTTTTAGTAGGATGATTTTAACCAAAGTCTAAGTCCAGTTATCTCAGCTACAATATTATATAAAAGCAATTAAATAATTTGCTTAAATTTAATAACAAAAATTTTATTCTCTAAGATTTTTTGACTTACTGAGATAATGAAGGGAACTGCATTAATTATTTCCAAGATGAAGGGTATTCTTAAAATCTGTTCCCAGATGTTTCCCTTCCAAGAAAGAAATTAATAAAAATGAAAGTCAATTATACTTAATCCTATTAAAAGGAGAAAAAACAGTAGTCAGAATTTCTCTAGTAAAAAAAGGTTAGAAAGTTACTGGTCACAATGCAGAGATGTAGCAATAGCTTAGAGGTTATGTTTTTACATGTTGTTGTGCTCTCCCAATGTATTCATAGGAATTTATGAATATTATACATAACATTTCAATCTAATAGCTTATCATGGAAGAAAATTTACTTGTAAAAATAAAACCTACAGAATCATTTAAAAAGTGACTCAGTCTTTTTTTATTTTAATACTTACATTCACTCATTGTAACATATATTAAGAAATTTGTAAAACATATGTGCTTCCTAACAATTGTTGATATTTTGTTTTTACTTTAATCAAACTTAAGGGAAAAACCTTTTCAATCACCTACATTCTAACCTCCCAACCCATGTAGTATGATATTAATCAAAATCAAATACATAATTTGCAGGCCCTATATGAAATGAATGTACAGGCCCTCTTATTAACAAATTTTTATCAATTTCAAGAAGTGACGTGTGGCTACTTTTAGTCATGTAGCCCTGTGCAAATACATGGATGACATGCCCATGAAGCTGACTCTGATTTTAATTTTTGAATTTATCATTGTGTGGATTTATGTTAATTAATTAATTTTAACCTGTTCATAATAAAAATAATAAAAATTATACATATTAAAATCATGTGATATTTTGCTGAATGTATACATTGTATAATGTTTGAATTGGGTAAAATTTATCTATCTCCTGAAACATCATTTCTTTCTGGTGAAAACTTTGAAAATCCTTTCACCTAGCTTTTGAAATGTACAATATATTATGGTTCTCTGTAGTTACCCTACTGTACAATAGCACAACAGAACATCTTGCTCCTTTCTAACTGTAACATACTAGCCATTCAAACTTTCCCTATCTCTCCCTCCCCAAAATTCTCCCCATCCTCTGGTAACCAACATTCTACTCTCAATTTCTGAGACCAACACTTTTAGATTTCTTACAAGAGTGAGATCATGAATATGTCTTTTTGTGCCTGGTTTATTTCACTCCTGTTTCATCAATGAATGAGGACTACATACACAAGACCAAGGTTGTGTGGTCACGTGGTAGTTCTGTTTCCAGTTTTGTGAAGAAACTTCACACAGTTTTCTAAAATGTCTGTACTTACTCACATTCCCATCAACAATGTGCAAGGGTTCCCAATTCTTCACATCCTCACCAACACTTGTTATTTTTTTCTTTTTTTTACATGCATTAAGTTTATTTTATTGTTTTTTTGTACATTTAATTTGTTTAATGACCCTGATTTTAAGATAATCACTGACACTTTTCTGAATGGGGCTGTCACAGTTTGAAAATGGCTTGAGTATGTCTCCCAAAGGTTCATGTCTTGGAAGCTTGATTCTCAGTGTGGGAAACAGAGGTGGTGGGATCCTTAAGGGTGGGGACCACTGGAAGGAAATTAGGTCATAGGACATCATCTTCCAAAGGGATTGATACAGTTCTTGTGTAACCCCAGTTAGTTCCTGCAGTTTTTATGAAAAAAAAAAAAAACACAGCCTCTGGATATCTCTAGCTTCCTGCCTCACCATGTGATCTCTTCCCCATGTGCTCCCTAAATGGTCATGTCGCCCATTGTGAGGACCTTGTCAGAAACTGAACACATACCAGCACCCAATCTTAGACTTTCAGTCTCTAAAACTCTAAGATAAATAAAGCACCCAGATTTAGATTTCTTGTTACAAAAACAGAAATCAAACTAATATTCTCACTAATAATAAAGAACTCAGAATTTTCTAAAGGAGTTTTCTCTTCTATGAAATCTATGTTTTGGAAAAGCAATTAGAAATCTGGCTTCCACATAAATTCCAAATTACCTTGTAACACTGAATATAAATTTGGGATTATTTTTAAGTTTTCCTTGAAATCCCAATGGCTTAAAACAATGTAGTGATATAAAACACTTCCAGAACCCAAAGCAAGGTTCTAGATCAGCTATGACCTATGTAGTCAGATAGGCTTTGTTGGCATTAGTTCATCACCTTTCTCCAGGGTGTATTAAAAGTGATACATAGGGAACAGGTGGAGGAAAGTTATTTAGGAGAACCTCTGTATGAACATGTTCCAGGTGCTATGGTCCATCACCTCAAGTTAAGTGAAAAGGATCAAGGAGATCACGGAGAGAGTTTGACTTAGACATGAGATTGTATACAGTAATGCCTAGAACATGAAAAATCAGAAGAGCAAAATAAAGAGAACAGTGATGACAGCAAGCCACAGTTCCTCCAATTTTAAAATGAAAGTGCCTATTTTATAAAAGCCAGATACATATTCTGAAAAATGAAAACTAGGGTCATTTTTGAAATGGATCACATTCAGACTCTGTGTGGATGAAGGTGAAATGGTACCTCAACAAATGGTGGATCTCAGAATCCAAAGGTCTGTGTCAGAGTTCTGGTGACTAGCCTGAGTCATTAAGCCTCTAGGGAACTTCAACCAAAGGTCCTAGAAGAGCCACAAAACACCCCCCAGAGAAAAAAAAAACAGTACTGATATTCATCATGCAGAGCAACCCAACACCAGACTACAACCGCCAGACAAGTGACTTCATCCCAAATACAGATCTCACTTTACTCCTGCTCCTCCTTTGTCCTTGGAGGCCCATATCAGTAGGCATCAAAAAAAGTGAGGAAATGAAAGAGGAGACACATAGATCCCATGAAGATGCTCTGCCCCATAATGATCTAAACTGAGGACATGCTAAAGTCGAACTGGATGAGAATTTTGAATTTTGCATACATTGATCATCCATCTCAGTAGCATGTATGAGAAGGATGGTATAGGGATTTGAAAAACTTTCTTAGCAATTTTGACAAATGGAAATAAAATATTTTCTATTTCTTTCCTCTGTCTTCTCATTTCCACTTATATTAATCTCTTTTTTTCTGATTTTTACAAGGAATCATTAGAAATGTCCTATAATGGTATATGACTAAGTAATTTCAGTTCTGATTTATCTTCCATATTAAAGGCAAAGGATTCTTTCTGAAATACCAAATTCCCATTCTTGAGATAATAAAATCCAAATTCCTAATTATATTCTGCGAAGCTTCACAATTTGAGCTCTGGTCTATGTGCAATATTTCTAACCCTTCTCTGAGTTCAACCACAGATTCATCCATATAAAGTTTTACACAGTTCCTTGGACACAGTAGGTCTTTTCATACTTTTATAACATGTTTCTGCCTCTGGTTAGAAAGCTTTACTCCTAAACCTTCACCTCTAATCTCCTTGGCAAGTGTTTGAAACATTTTACTGAACTCATTTCCTTATACACTTGGGGCTCAATTACATAGTTAAATTGATAAGTGAAACTCCCAAATATTTTATACATCCTCTTCCCCTTCTTTAATACAATTATTTTATTTTATTTTTGATCTTAAGTATTTATATTCCTTTATAATGGTCCCAAATGGAAAACAATTGTTTAAAAACTTCCTGAATATAGTTATGTATAAATTATTAAACTTGTAACCAGATTTCAATGGAAATTTTCTGGAAGAAAGCATGTAGAAGTTCTTATCTGTATACCCACATTACGTATTTTCATGTACGTTTTAATTGCAACTTATAACTACTGATAACCCTATAACTTCCAATATTGTATCTCTCGCTCCAAACACTATTTCATTTCTGAGATTCTAACTCAGATCAATTGCCTAATCCACTGTTTCACATGGGTGCCTCAAAAGGATTTTATACCTAAATGCAAAATTTATGCTTTTTTTCCTGCCTGGTTTCCCAGGCACACACAAACCAAATATCCTTGAGAAGCCCTTAACTCTTCCTTTCACATGCTACCTAGGTATAGTTTACCAAACAAACGTACATTTTGTAAATAGATCTTGAAAGTTTCTAATGTTTATTCTCATTTAATTCCCACTCTGACCTATTCAAGCCTCCTAATTAGTATTTGTCCCTTCATTCTTGCCCCATTCCTACTCACATCCTGCATTATTAAGTGGATTATATTTCAAAAGGAGCATTTAACAACCAATACAATACCCTCACTCCACCCAATGACCACTCACTTCAAAACTCTGTAACCAGTAACACACTTCAAGAACAAAAAGACAGAAGTCTTATTACAACTAGAAATGCACTACATCATTCTTGCTGACATCTCTACCATTATTTGAAAAGTCATTTCTTCCACACTCTTTTTACTTCTTAAAATATGCCTTCAAAAACTTCTTAGAATATAATTCTTCAAGAAACTTTTGTTTTGCAGTTAATTCACACACACCTTTTACCTTTTAATTGAGAGTCTTTCAAGTTTTGTGAAACTTGCCTTAACATACTCCATACTCACTGTAAGCAAGATCTACTCTTCACATTAGGCTTCCTTCTTCCCTCCCTCCCTCCTCCCCTCCCTCTCTTTCTTCCTTCCTTCCTTTTATTGAAGGTTGAACCTAGAAACACTTAACCACTGAACCACATCCCCAGCCCCTTTCTATTCTTATTTTTTTTAATTTATTTTGGGTCAGGGTCTCTCTAAGTTGCTTAGGGTCTTGTTATATTGCTGGGCCAGCCTCAAACTTACAATCCTCCTACACTTAACCACTGAGGCACATCCCCAGCCCCTTATTAATTTATTTATTTATTTATTTATTTATTTATATTTTGGGACAGGGTCTCTCTAAGTTGCATAGGGCCTCATTAAATGGCTGAGGCCAGCCTCAAATTTATAATCCTCCTCCTGTCTCAGCCTTCAGAGTTATTGGGATTACAGGTCTATGCCAGCCCTCCCAGTTCTACATCAATTTCTTTCACTTCTCTTCTTTCAGTTTGTTTTCATACATCAAAAACATTACAACACTACAGATTTTTAAATCCATATGGTGAGAGTCAGCACCAGTGTATGTTACGAATGGTATGCTACATTCCTGGTACAGTGCTTGATAAGACTGAAGCTCTAAAATAAAACTATTACTACATTATATTAAACTTCCTATTGCTGATTCACTCTGTGTGTGTGTGTACACAATATAGTTTCTATTATTGTCATTAAGAATGTCAAAGAGTCTTAGACTAAATCCTTCGCTTTATCAGAAATAAGCCATTATGGTGTTAAATTTTCACAATCATTGCATTTTAAGAGTGATTATAGAAAAAACAATCATAGATTTAACAAAAGACTAGGTATAATGAATTTCTGTTTGCAGAGGTTTAGAAACTGTGCTGGGGTTTGTTTTTGTTTCCTTTTCATTTAATGAATATGTGTGCATAAATAGAGTTCTATTTTGAAAGCAGTTGATAAAAGAATTAGAGGGTATTTATGGTGGCAGAAGAATAAGAACTTTAGTGCAGGGCAATTACTATAGTTGTTTTGCCAACTAGCTATAAACATAAATGGAAAGATTATTTAAGCACAGACCTGAAGTTCTGTCTGATAGAAAATGAAATTAGTTAATTCCATGGATCTTAATTCATTATCTGCAAATTTCAGCATGTACTTTACATTTCTGCTAATTTCATTCTTAGCCTCCATGAGAGTTTAAACTGTTTTAAGTATCAAAGATTGAGTTATGCTGATGTTAGAACCTCTAATTTCAAGAGTTACCAAGTTCTGGCATAATATTATATTTATTTTAAAATATTAAATATATACTACATGCATATATATACACATAAATATAAGAAAGGTATAAGTTGACTAGCTATTAATATTGATTTCTCATAAATCTAACAAGAAACAGTATTAGGAAAAGATGCAATTTTTTTCTTATTTTTTATGGGTTATTTTAATTTTGTTTTGTTTTGTTATAGGTGGATATAATAGCTTTATTTCATTTTTATGTGGTACTGAAGATCAAACCCAGTGCCTCACACAAGCAAGGCAAGCAGTCTACCACTGAGCCACAGCCCTAGCCCAAGATGCAATTGTTAATGAAAAGCAATATCAATTTTTGTCTTATTTTTCTTAGTAAACTAAGTCGAGGAAAAAAATACACTTTAGATTCTGCTATCCAAATTTCCCTTATTTGTAGGCCACAAAATATTACCAACTACTTAATTTATTCCTTAAAAAAAACAGTTAGCTAATACTACACTGAAGAAGTCAAAAGAGTTCATGAATTTGACTAAATTTATGAGATGAAAAGAAGATAATTAACAATAACTTGTCCTTTTACTGTCATATAACTCCTTTTTACCATGTTTCCTTTGTAACTCTTACTCAACTCTACCATCTACCTCTCCTCCATCTAAGCCATTAATGTTGTTGAGGGTCAGACTGGAAATATTATACATCATCTAGCCCTGCATGCTAAAGCTTATAATGATCTGCTTTCATTTTATAAATGATAGGAAGTAATTAATTATAAATGCTGCCATCATCTAATTGCAATGGAAAATAATCTTGAATCTCTGTGTGTTTTTTAAATGACTTCTTAAATTATGTCAAGAGTTCTGTTAGCAAAACACCGAAAGTTACTTTTATATTACTTTAAGTTAGAATTTGGAGCAAATACATTCACAAATTAATATTAATATTTTGGCAATGGTATGTTTTTGCAAATATTCTTATACTAGTCGAAGAGATATAATTAATGTATCCAAAATACCCACATCTGTTTTTTTAAATATATTACTTTTTATACTTTACATTCAATACTCATCACACATTTCACATTAAGGAACTTTAACCCAATAAATTCCATTTCCATTGTTCATAATGTCGGGCACATATATAAACTTAAATTGAGCCACAAATATACCACTTATACTAACTTTTGAAATAAAAATTATGTCTGTGAGTCTACTCTTTTGAGAAACATAAGTGAATGATTAGAATGTTTGAAAAGATATATATATATTTTAAACTCAGAAATATCTAATATCTAGGTGAAACTGTGAAAATTTAATGCCCTAATGGATTATTTGATAAAGCAAAGGATTTAGTCCAGAACTTTTAGACACTCCTGGTACTGTACGCAGCCTTTTCAAAGCTATTCCTTAAGTCTATTCTGTTCCTTTCCTAAACTTCATTTCTGTCATATTTTTATCTTTTCTGCACCTTCTTTCTTTAAACAATGCAGATGGTTCCCATCCTTAGAAGTTCTTCCCTGTGTTGTTCTACTACTTCTGGTGAGCTCCTGCCCCAGTTCAGTAACCTTCTCCATTTCACAATTTTTACTTTGAACGACATTCCACTAAAACTGTTGTCTTTGGCGGGATTAGTCAATAGTCTCCTAATTTCTGAATTCAATAAATTTTTCTCAAGCTTCTTGCATTTACCATAATTCATATAATTTTATATAATGTTTTTCTTCTTTAGATATTTCTAACATCTTATTTCTTCTCATAAATATTTAAATCAACCCCTCAATAGTGTTTAAGCACTCATTCCTTTTTTGATACACTTTCTTATTCATCAACCTTACTGTCATAGAAATTGATCTTATTTTCTTTAAATGTCATTAAAGAAAAACTAAAAAGAATATAAGTGAGCCAAAGAAAATGGTGAATGACTATGAAAACTTCTGGCTTGAAAAATAATCTAAAGAATGCATCTTCTAAACTTGTTTTTAAAAGAAATTAATGTGTGATAAGAGTACTCTGTTGCAGGATGAACATGAAGTGTTCGCAAAAAGCTCCTGTTAATGCAGCAATATTCAGAGGTGAAATGATTATGTGAGCTGTAACCTAAATCAGTCCACCCTAGTTTGCATGAACTGACGAGGAGGTGGTAACTGTAGGCACTTGGGGTGTGACTGGATAAATTGAGTGAAGATCAAGGTGGAAGGGTGCTTCTTCCTAACACTGACAAGACCTAAGAAGCTTTCCTCAGCTGAGTTCTTTTCCTGTAGGATACTATCTCACTTCGGCCCTGAGCAATGGAGTCAGCCATCTCTGGACCAAGACCTCTGAAACCATGATCCCCAAACACACAATTCGAGTTGTTTAGGTCACAGCAATGAAAAGGTTGACTAAAATATTCCACAAAAATATGACCTTTACTATACTTGTTGATGTAGGTAAAGAAATTATCAATGAAAATGAATAATTTAGCTTCCTTGTCTATTGCCCTGTATCCTTAATTACTCTGTACTTCCTCCAAAACCAAAACAAGATACTCATCTCCATCAACAGAACCTAAACTTCTACCTTAGTAACTATCCGAAGCATGAGATCATGACTACCGTTAATACTCTCTGAAAATCACTGCCAAACCTAAATAAATAACTCTTTTCAAATTTCCTGGTCCTCATTCTCCATTATTTCCATCTCATATCTCCTTGATTCATCCATCAGCATGTCAGATTCATCTTTTCTGAATTCAGTTTGATTGTTTTATCTATCTGGGCCCCAACTTTATCATTTTTTCTTTATATAACTCTCAAGTATGTCTACAATATTTCCAGTCATTCAAACTCAGAAAATCTTTGGTAATGGCATTTCAGTATACTTCTTCTCACTTATCAACCAATGAGTTGGTGATTTTTTTTTAGCTTCTACCTTCATATTCTTTCATCAGATCTAGCAATTCATTTTGCCTACCAAAAACACAAGGTTGGTTTTTCTTTCATACTTCAGTATGTCTTAACTGAGCAATCATCACTGTGATGTCTCTGTGACCTCTCTGATATTCGCTATACAAAACCCTCAAATTCCAACCAAACATAATTATTTGTCATTTCTCCAATTCATGTGTATATTCCTTTAAGCTTTTGCTAGTTCTTCCAATCCCAATTATCCTGTCTTTCCATCTTACCTTACTGAAATCACTAATTCATGGACTCTGCTTGTCAGTCAAGTATTGGCTCTCCTATGAATCCTCATGGTATTTAACTTACATCTCACAGAAAATTCTTCTTATAATCTGCCTTGTACTATAGTTATCTGTGTAATTTTTCTCTGCCCACCCCTTTTCTAGGTTGCAAACTCACGGAGAAAAGAGCCATGTAAACGTGTAGAGGTCTGCATGAAAAAAATACACAAACTTCATCAAATACAAGTTAAATAAATATTTGTTAAATTGTGTTAGCCCGATAAAACCTCACTAGTAATTAAGATAATGTATTAAAATAATTCCTAACAGACACATTTTTGGTCTCTCAGTATCTTTTACATGTTAGGAAAAGAGATTGAGAACAATAAGAAGCCAGAGAATTCCATTTGCTTGCCTCACTCTAAGCATTCATATAATGGGTAAGTAAACTCACGGGAATTAGTGAAGTACCTGAAGTCATCAAGCAAAACCTTACTATATTAGTATAGCTTTTTACTGCATACTAGAGAGGCTCAAAATAATTAAAGTGGTTTAAGAAGAGCCTGCCTTATCCCCAAGTATGAATTATAACAAGAGGAATACTTGGCAAGTACTAGCAGTATGCTTGCTCTACAGCAGAAAATTGCTAATTAAAATAACTTACCTTATAACTCAGATAACCAAGTAGTATTGTTTCAAATAGACTTATCAATGCCACTGATACCTAAAATATAAATTTTAACTTAATGAAAAAATGCAATAAAATATATGTGCATTATGTACACATGTGTTTGTGCATATAAATATATATAATACATACACATAAGACAGTGGTTGTTATTTATTAGCACTTCAACAAATGTAAGCAGGTGGCAGTTTCCCAGCCATAGTTTGCCATGTAACCATTATAATTTAGTTTCTCTAATTTCTAATGTCCTAAATAAATATATTTTTATTTATTATTCCAAATGTAAAGGTGGGACTAGAATAGGAAGGCAGGCTAGAGTTTAAATAATATGTAAAGAATAGGTTCTTATGTGTATGTTCCTAAGAAACAAATCACACACAATTGCCCTGCCATCAAATAAACATCCTTTTCCAGCAACACCAGCAGTAGCACCACCAAAATCATCAATCCCTTTCAGAAAATGGAACAAAAAATACAAACTTCAAATTGGATACACTCAATCCTATCATCCACCTCAAATAAAATGAAATGGCAACATCCTCGAAAATTAAACAATATAGACCATATCAGCATTTTAAGAGACTTCAGATTTGATTTGAATTAATTTCATAACCAATTCTGCTTTGCATCTGGGCTAGACATATTCCTATCTCTATTCTCTGTTGTATGTTCAATTTCTACTGTTTAAATTCCAGAAAAATACTGTAATAAGAAAAAGAATTAAAAAAAGAATGTTATTCTGTCTTAAATATTCTAGTTACTTTGAAATGGACCAATAGAATCAAATAAATAAACAGAAAATGACTCACCTATCCTATTTGTTTATAGATCTATAAAATTTAAGATAATCTGAATGAGAAAAAGTAGATACCCTAGAGTTTGAAATTTTTCTTCTGTTAAAATGGAAATTTGAAATATAAGTGAAAATTAAAATACGAGAACAATAGAAGTAGATGAACTCATAGCAGTGTAAATAAAATATGTTTGGAAATAAATCCTATAGCTAGGCATCATTATAAAAGGAAATTCATGATTTTCTCCAAGTCTTCCAAATTTTCCAGATGTTCATATTCCTATATGGTCTCTAGAACACTTTTAGCACTCATTATTCAAAGTGTTATTTGCAAATGAGTACAGTTTAAAATATTACTCTTAAATAAATCTATGTAGATAGATCAAAGTATACTTCAAGACAACATATGACTATTCATAAATACATTAATTTATTTAAAAAGTGCATTTTACTGAAAGATATGAATCTAGGTCAGAGATTAAAAGCATTTTAACTGAACATTTAAATATTTGAAAAGGATTATTTATATATTAATGTGACATTGCAACAAAAGTCAGTATATATTAACATAAAAACAACTTGACTTCAACAAAATATGAAATATCTAGATATAATAAAGATAGATTTCAAAGTTATGATCACAATATATAACTAAAACAATTGTCACATATAAAGTGTATACACTTCACAATCATGATGTTAAAAGGCAAATCAAACATTTAGTCAAAAGTATTCTAAAGACTGTTCAAAGCAGTGAGTCTCAGAGACTTTTTATTTCCCTCAATTGTCTTTCCACCTCAATTCTGTTTCATAGTAGTAGTGCCATTTTTCCAATTAATTTATACTTCTTAAAATTAACAGGAAATTGAAAGAATTTGTTGAAGGTACACAAAAAGTAGAGGAGACAGCACTTAATAAAAAGTTTGCTGGTCATGAAATCCAATAGAAAAAAAGAAAACAGAAGAGCTACAAGGAACTCTAGGGAACTCATCAACAATGCAATTCAGACATGCTGGCTTTCTCGTGTTTTCTGTTTCTTTTTGAAGAGCTTCTTTTATGCCAGAGCATACCTTTGTTTTATTAACACAAGTGTCTGCTTGGGAACTAGGCTCTTGGTATTGGTGATATGAGCCATCCATTCATTTAACAACTATTTATTGAGATTCTACCATGTTACAGTGAAAATATAAGGTAAAAACTAAACATGGTGACAGGCTTTTGATTAATTTTAAAGGAGTTACAAAGCAGGAATATGGAGGCAGCTTGGGAAAACATGAAGTCTTAACATACTGGTTTACTTTTAGTTTTCTCCACATTCTCAAACACTCTCTGAAGTATAATCCTAATTACCAGGAAACTCTCAGGAGGTAGAATGCAGAGCTCAGGAAAACAGGAAGAAAGAATAAAAATGTTAGTGTACAATGTGCATAAAGATTAGGCAGAAAAGCAAACTCACTTTCACTATCAACAGTTTTTCTCCACTAATATTTCTCTGTGAAATATGAATAAACCCAGAAATATAGGTATAGAACAAAATTGTACACAACCTGTAAGCCCCATAAAGGTAGACTTCTGTTCACCCAAAAGATATGAGACCTATGGAAAGAATGATAAAGATATTAGTTTTTTAAACATGTGAGAAAATTCCATTCACTTTTAAAACTGAATTAATGTTTGAAGTAGCAAAATAAATATACTAACCTAAAAATAATGTTAACATACAAATTAAAAAGGAGAAAACATTGTTTCAGCTTTTTCATTTCTATTCCAGCAAAAAGCCTTCTTAATTTCTTTTTGTTAGTATTAATAATAAATGTAAATAAAATGAACCATTAGTTTAAAAATGATAAGGCAGAGATAAAAAGTTTCAAACCCTTTTTTACTGGATTCTCCATTGAGAAGTCAATTAAAGATATTCCATAAATCCTAAGACTCTGTTATTCTTAAACATGTTAATATCTGGATAAAATCAAATCAAATAATGAAAATAATCAGAATGAAGTAAGTACTTCAGAATATATAGCAGATATATATACATATATAGCATAGTAATGCTGCTATAAAATATTGGGTTTCTATAAAATATGTAACATATCATAAAAATATCTTCAACTGGAGTTAACATAGAATATTTTGTGAGACAAGAAGTCATTGTCTTTAAATAATCTTTTTTTAAATGTTTTTCCTAATTTTTAATAAACTTTTTTTATAGTTGTAGAAGGGTACAATACCTTCATTTTATTTGTTTATTCTTTATGTGGTGCTGAGGATAAAACCCAGTACCTCACACATGCTAGGCAAGTGCTCTGCCGCTGAGCCACAGCCCCAGCCCTTAAATATCTTTCTTAAAATATTTGTTCTGTTGTTAAGAAATACTTACACTCTGCAAAGAATACCATGATACTTTTACTAGACCATTAATCGCCATTTTAGTTGATTCAAATGAAAATCATTTATAGTAATATAATCTACTCAGGAAAACATAAAAATTTCTACAACTTCTTGCCTGCCAAGATGCAAAAAAATCCTCCAAAAAAAAAAAAAACCCAACAAATAAATCAAAACCCACTCTTTACACTTACTAAATTTAAAAGGAGTCCCATAAAGTATAGCATATTTTCAAATGCTTTAGTCATTTTCTTTTTATAATATAGTAAGTGATAACAAAGAGCAACAAACTCTTTTAAAATATTTATTTTAAAAAGAATGGCATGGGCTGGGGATGTGGCTCAGTGGTCAAATGCCCCCAGGTTCAATCCCCGGTACCAAAAAAAAAAAAAGAATGGCAAAGCTTTAAAACTATTTAAAGACATTACATAGCACATTAGACTAAATTACTCTGATGTTTCAAAATGTCACATCTACCTGGCTAATGACATCTTCAATTGCTCCAATTCAAACCACTGACCTTTCTTCCAAGAACTAGTCCTCCCTCACTTTTTCACATTTTAGCAACAGAAACCAAGTCCATAGTGTCTGCTTACACAAAAACTTGTGTGTGGCATCTTAGACACTTTCCTCTCCTGCATCTGTAAATACGTACTCCACCAAGCCTTTTCAATTATTACCACCAAACAAACAGCTGCAAATACCTATAGAATTCATCTACTTCTTATCTCCACTATTATAACCACCTTCATCTAAGCTACTTTTCCTTTGTAATTCAATTATCTCAAAAACCAAATAATGAGGTCCCCACACCTCTTTTTGCATTCTATAATTTTTATTCTGAATTACAAGTACAAGTAATTGGGTTTGTTTTTTTACAAAATGAGTTTTAGGTCATAATTTGTGCTATGGATTAGTTTGTACTTTTCTTAGGATAAAGTCCAAAACACTTGACATTGAAGTGTGGCACACTCCTTCCTACCACAAGCCCTTTTACATCCACTTCCCTTATCCTAGAGCAATCAGCTGAACCTTCTGTTAGGGAAACCTCTGAGGATTCCACTTGATACATGTAGTCAAGTAATCTCAGGCCATGTCATTCACCACAGCTCTCCTTTCATTCATTTCAGTTGGAACTTATAATTTATTTGATAAGTTGTTGCTTTAATGTCAGTTTTCTCCAAAATTACACGGTCTATAATATAAAATAATGTCTATTTTACTCACTGTTATAAACCTGATGTTTTACTGAGTATACACAGAGGACAATATAAATGATGGATGGTGCCAAAAAACACAGAGACATGGCTGATGAGTTCAGTGTCCTTTCCAAAACAATTTTATATTCTCAGTAACATTTGAGAATCAAACAAAAACACAGTATATCAGAGTGAAGAAAGATATACCTGTTTTTGTAGATAGAAAAATTATGTGCTACAGAAACATCTAAATAACTAAATAGATACAAATCCCTGCAAAATTATTAAATGTATTGTTAAAATATGTTCATGAGCACTTTCAAAAGGAAACTGGTAATTAACATGGATTGACTAACATCTAGTTATATTTAACTAAAGACATTTTCTTTAAATTGGGGTGTTATTTGGGTAGGCTATGGAAATATCATAGAAAATTGAAATTTAAATAGGATATTAAAATATATATATATATATATATATCTTTTTGGGGGGACAAGACCATGTAGGAAATAGTTTTATAATATATAAAAATATTAAAATTCTCTTACATATAAATTTCAATGCAAGTAAGGTCTCCAATGAAAAGTTATATTTTTCATTCATTTTATTAATGTTAAATTTGATTAATGGGTAGAAGGAACTCTGTAAATGTTGGTAAAATGCTAGTGCCTAAACTCTCCTTCACAAAATGGATTTATCATGAATGAATAATATGTGATCCATAATTTCTAGACAACCTCCAAAACAAGAGGAGTGAAACCAAAACTGAGGCCATACCTAATTCAAATTGAAGGCTCAATCTCATTGACCAAAAAGAATGAAGAGGAAAGGAAACACATGAAGGTAATATTTATCGCAGTATTATCTATAGCAGGAAAGCACCCAGACTCTGTAGCATCATTATTAACAATTATAATAAGAATAATAACACAACTAAGATAAAAATGATGAACAAATATTACTTATCACTTCAGCATTATATGTTATGTGTGTATGTGCATATAGAGAGAAGTTACAAATGATTAGTCTTTAAAATACTAGTACTTATTTCTAGGTGTTGTGATCTGAGCTAATTTTGACTTCCTTGTTGTCTATGTTCATATTGTAGTAAGCATGAATCAGCTATTACATCTAAAACACAAAACAAATTTCATAGACTTAAAATTATATAATTCAAACAAAACCACAAAAGCAAATAAAAAAAAAATCATTCAGTTATTGTGAATTAGATTGCCTTTATAGGTGAAATTCATGTATGAAGCATTATTAGGAAACCTGAAGAATCATATCACACAATGGAGGGACAGCAATAGTTGAATGTGAAAGTTAGTGACAAGCAGCTCAAGCCACCTTTCATAGCCCTATGTTATGGCCTGTCCTAAAGGCAGGTAAACAAATGTAGAGAGTGTCAGAGCAGTTTGAACAGCTATGGTGAAGCCAGGAGGTGAATATATTTAGCAGAAGACCAAAGCATTTGGTAAACACAAAAGTAATGGTAACGGGGTCAACATGTGATGCATAAGTCATATGAAAGTACTTATTGCTCACAAACTCAAAATGAACTCAAATAATTTTGAGAGCTCTCCCAATAAACTAATGTAAGCTTATATTGTATTAAAAAATATAATATCCTAAATTAGAAAAGTAAATTCTAGAATTTTCCTAATAGTAACAAATAATGAGATCTAGCACTAGGCAGAGTAGTAGGCCCACATTTCAAGAAGATCAGGGAAAATTTAGTATGTGTCAAAAATCAAGGTGACCAGAACACTGAAGAATAGAAGTCCTGTCAGTAGATTAGAAAGACTTTCCAGTACCTTAATTTTCAAAACACTAGAAACACTTAACCCCACATTAGAAAGCAATTATGAAGTGTGGAGAGAACTAAATACTGACTATTAGAATGGACATCAAGGGCCTTTTCATCTGACTTATGCTGACTGTGGCAAAGGTGGCTTTCATTCATTGCCAACATTCATTCTCCTCCTTCGGTACACAGTGTTGAGTGCAAAAAGGCACTCTTCACCCAGACTACATTTCTCAGGCTTTGTGTCAAAGTATGCTGACCTGACTGATTCTCACATGCGATCTGAATACAAAATTCAAGTCAAAAAAATGTTGGTCATTTGCTAAGCATTTTGAAAGCATATCACCAAGCCCCCACCATGCTATCTTCCTTCTGAAAGCTGAATGCAAAGAACACAGGCCCTAATACAAAATGTAGTTTAAAAATGCAAATGGTTTGCATATGTATTATATTGATCATGTTATGCTGTGTGTGTGTGTGTGTTTGAGAGAGAGGGAGAGAGGGAGAGAAAGAGAAAGAGAGAGAGAGAGAGAGAGAGAGAGAGAGAGAGAGAATTATTATTCTTATGGAGAAAATGCCCACACTAACCAGGAATGACAGTGTTAGACTTTGGTAAACAAAAAAATTATCCTAAATTTTTGAGGTTATATGTTATTATTCTTGTGATACCTGAGTCTCTACAGTAATCAATATTTATGAAAAAAGAAAACATTTACATTATGATAATCATTCCTATAACCTCATCAAATATTTAGAAACTATCTTTAAAATTCTATTTCTTCTTTTAATAGTTCTTATCTTTTAATACTTCTTATCTTTAAACTGTGAATGTCATCTGAACACACCAGTTACTGGATTAGGCACTGATTTCAAATTCAAGACCCAAAATGATAAAATAAAATATAAAAATTCACAGGCTTCCTACCTTTGACCTCTATCACTTGAAGCTGTAAACAAGCAGCTCAACAATTTTAATAGGAAAGAGACATGTGAGTTTTGACACATAGTGAAGAAACATAAGCATCAGCAGGCCAGGGATCAATACCATCTCACCTCTCAATGTACTTCATAAACTACACGCTACAGATGTGTGTCATTACACACATAGTACATCAGAGTCTTCCATTTGCCCAGTGTCATTAATGCCCAGGCATTAACAGTAAAATTATTTCGTATTCTTCAGTTGATGCATAGTGCCACATTTTCATATCAGTTTTGATTCCTGGGTGTAATTTGAAAGTGCAGCAAGGCAGTACAAAATATCTGCAGCTTTGTCATGTCAGAAACTCTAATTAAATAAATCTCTTTGCTGAATTATCCTCATTATTTTAAAATAGAGCCTGTGCCCATAAAGGCCACTTCTGTTTTTCATTAACCAAGACTGCATTGACATTGGGAACTAAACAGAACATTGTATTCAAAATGGAGCCATGAGCTAGTTGGTTATGCTTTTTAATTACAGTAATCTGATTTTTCAAATGTATATCCTCTATAATTATGTCTGAACACTCTAAGTAATATTACATAGAAGTTAATTGTAGGAAACTTTGTTCCTCTTAATGTTTTCAAATAATATAATTTTATTCTGCTATCACCCACTAGTGTGCCCTTTTTTCCCTTGGAAGGGTTCTTCATGCATCATTTATAATTTTTATGTCTCGCTAGTGCACATTTTATTTATAAATCATCAAGTTTTAAAAATAAATTTCTGGTATGTTTATAGATGGATTTGTTTGGGGCATCATTTTTAAAAACATAGACAAAAAATATAATAAATGAAATATGCACTGATATCCCTAGGCACTGGTCCTCAAGCAAAAATATCAATAAAACTGGTGGTGAGCACAATTCCATTAATATAGCAACATTCCGTGATCCACCAAAAACCATGTTAAGAATGAACTACAGAGGCAAATACAACATGGTTTGTGCCCTTCATGTAAGTATATGGAGAGGATAGAGAATCAAATGGTAGAATTAAAGTCAATGTATTAGGTACTATGAGAGAAGTATGGGGTGATGTTCAGACAGTACTGAGAGGATACCCTTAATCCAGAATAAACTGTGCTACAGAGTGCAATGCCTGCTAATATTTCCAGATTAAGTGTTATCCAAGAAGTTATTACCTTGAAATTGAGGAGCCCTCAAGCAAGTTAAAAAGGGTGAGTTGTGAGAGTCAGGATTGGAAAACAGCTTTCCAAGAAGCATAGAAATGAGAGAGAGCAAAGTATGAAAAATGACTTCAAGTTAGATCAGCATGGCTAGAGTAGAAGTCTGGCAAAAAGAGGTAAGTAAAAGCTACATTATAAAGGAACTGCATTTACTCATTTCCTCTCTCATTCATTTAACAAATAACTACTGCCATTTTGTGCCAGGCTCTGGGGAGTCACACAATTTTCGATGCCATCAAGAAATATCCATTCTAATACCCACAGGATATACAGAAAACAAAGTAAACATGTAATATGTAAGAGACAAAGCCGTGGGGACAAAAAGAAAAAAATATTCAAGGAGGTCTTTTAGGATAAATGTTTTAAGTAGAATTCATAATGAGATTCTGAGTAAAGATTAGAGGAAGTCAAGGAAGTGTGCCTCATGTTATGTAATGGGTAATAACCAGACAGAGGGGAAACCCTCTGAGGAGGCCCCCAGCTGGCACTGCACCTGGCAATGATTCACCAAGAAAAAGGAGGTCAATCTGGACTGAGAAAATGGGTGGGGGATAAGTAGTTGGAGGTGAAGTTACAAGGAAAAGAGGGAATATTATAGCCATGGTAAGCACTTTTCCATTCAAAGCAGAGCTCATTGGAAGCTGGATTTTTATTTTGTATGCACAGTGACTCCCACATTAAGGATAAACCAAAGGGAGAAAGAGCAGAACTAGCAGTAGAGGCTACTGAAATAGTCCAAGCAAGAGACTGGCTTGCACCAGGATGATGGCATTGAGAAGTGATTTTATGCTGTTTATAACTTGAAGGTATAAATGACACAATTTTCTAAGGGTTTACACATGCTAGTGACAAAAAGAGAAGTAAGGATAACCCCAAAGCATTTGGGCCAAGTAACTGTCAGATTGGAACTGTTTTATCAACTGAAATAGGGAAGTTGAGTCGGATGAGGTTGGAGGAAAGATGGAGATGCCATTCCTTGAAATGTGGAAGAGCACAGAGGACGCTGACTGGAACATGGTAAATCTGAGAAGTCGTTTAGACAGCCAAGTAGAGAACTTGAATATGGAGTTGGAACTGGGAGACACTGTCTTCCTGTGGTCATGAGTTAAAAGAGATACAAAGCACAACACGATTAGTTCTGAAAGTCTCAAAACAAAGAGTCACAAAGATGAGAACCTCTGCTTCCTCATATTTAAGATGGCAAAAAATAAAATTAAGAAATGTTTATTTAGACTACAGCAGCTAGTCTAATGCCAGAAAATCTCAGAAACTCCATAATAAGCAATCTTTCCACAAACTAAAAAATCCCTAGGGGTACTGAAGCTCCTGTGCCTCTCTTGTGTTCTGTTATGGTTTAGATGTAGTGTCTGCCAAAAGCTCATGTATGAGACAATGCAAGAAGGTTCAGAGGAGAAATGATTGGGTTATAAGAGTCTTAACCCAATCAGTGAAATAATCCACTGATAGGGATTAACTCAGTGGTGATTGAAGTGGTAGGGTGTGGCTGGAGGGGGTAGGAATTGGAGCACGGCATTGGGGTATTTATTTTGTATCTGGAGAGTGAAAACTCTCTCTGCTCCCCAATCACGATTTAATCTGCTTCCCTCTACCACACTCTTCCACCATAATATTAAGCCTCACCTCAAGCCCCAAGAAATAGAGCCAGCCTTCTATGGACTAAGACCCCTGAAACCATGAGACCTTAAATAAAGCTTTCCTCCTCTACAGTTGTGCTGGTGGGTCCTTTACTCACAACAGCAGAAAAAGTTGACTAAAACATCTTCATTTCAAGTAATTTGAGACATGTTGACTAATCAATGAAGATATGTTGAAATATCCATAACTGTATTTCATAAAAATTATTTTAGGCCAGGAATAATGACACAAGCCTGTAATCCCAGCAACATGGGAGGCTGAGGTAGGAGAACCCCAAGTTCAAGGGCAGTCTCAGCAACTTAGTGAAACCCTCATCAAATTAGTGATATCATCTCAAAATAAAAAATAGAGAGGACTGGGGATATAGTTTAACTAGAAAGAACCCTGGGTTCAATCCCCTGTACCAAAATATATATATTAAAATATATATTAATATATTAATATATTATTAATAATATTTTATATATTTTATATTATGTATATACATTTTTATCTATACATACACACATATATAATATTTTTAACAAGGAATGATCACATCACATAGATTATTACATGATAAAACTTCACTTATTACCTATCTCCAAACCTTTGAGTAAATACAAAGCCATATTCACTGCCTAAACAAGCTGAAGAATATTCAACTAACTTAAAAGAATATTATGTACCCACTTTTCCAATTTATGTTTTAATATTTTAAGGGCAAATTTTCACAGGAGAAAAGAAAAAAGTCATGAAAATAACTCATCAAATTCACATTTTCTATTTTGAAAATTGTTGTACATTTAGTAGACTGCATAGTGGTACAGGAAGCTGATGAGATACAAATTAGTCATATCATTACACATGCAGTTCTCTTCTCTATTGCCTCCAGCAAAGGACAGCCCCTAAAAAGGAGGTCCATAAAAGAATACAATTTAATAAAAGCCACAGGATTGTATATTAAAAGTAAGTTGACATGCTAGAATATTTCTATTCAAGGTAACAGCTACAATATAAGTGAAAATATCTATAAAGCTAGCCTACAGAGAGCAAAGTTTGGGGGAGTACATCTAATCAAGAACACAAAGATATTAAGGTTTTTTAAGAGATTGAGCCATTTTAAACCATTATTTATGGCACTTCTATTACAATAACATTTCCATGGATCAAAGTTCGGCATTATCATTATACAAATAGATAAAGACAAAAAGAAGATATTTTTACAAAGAATCTATAGTCAATATTCATGTAGCACCTGAAAATCAGATCAATTGTGACAAACACTTAATATCCTTGAAAAAAAAAAAGGAATTCTCTATAATGTCCTTCATAATGTAATCCAAATGAAAATAATTAAAAGAATACTACTGAAGATCAGACAAAAATACCTTACCACTCATTTCCTTGTGAAGGGTTTTCTAGTAGCACTCGGATTATATATAATAAGCAGCTTAATAATTTGAGAGAAAAGTTGAACAGGCGTATCCTTAGACCTTTAAACAAACAACAAAAATTTGATTTTAATATGAACTTGTTCACAAAAGGCTAAAAAGGGTTGTCAAAGTTATCAATTTTAAGTACAGCACTTAGATTGTATTTAGAAACTACAATACTATAATTGTCTGAATTCACTGAAGTTCTTGGTAGCTGAATTTTAATTAGTTGAGTATTGAAACAAAAAGTGAACTTGACAGGATGCATGAACTGTAAGTGACAGTGAACATCACTCACTGAAAGTAAATCTATTGGATAATCAGAGTATTTGAGTACACTTATAAGTTTAACCATTTTACATACACATGAATTTTTGGATAAAGTCTAGCTAGCTAGAAAATAAAGCTGTTTACATATTCACAGGATGAATAATAAACTTTGGACCTTCAGAGCAGCTTGTAGACTGGATTATACAGAAATTGAAATTATATTTATATAACTTTATGTTTTGTTTTTAATATTCATTATATAATTATATTATAGTGTATATTAATTGTATATGTAGATGTTACATGATATTTATGGAGAGAAATCATAATAGTTTATAATGAGAAACAAATATGCATGTCCTCTCCTTTGCTCTCTCTCTTGCCACACTCTCAGTCTCATTCACATATACACACATTTGAATTGAATCTTATTTTTAACCAGGTTAAATGCCAATGAAATATGTAAGTTTTTGTGAGTATTATGACTGTCATGTGTATGTCTCTTAAACTGTTTTGGTCACAGTTACACAATCTAAAATACTTCATGATGATGAAGATGCGCAAATAAGTTTAAGCTAAGTAAAAATAAACCTTAATTACTAGGAAGATTACCTTTCATGCACTTATTTGGTGATATTTGATTTGCACATTTTTAAAGAAATTTTGAGAAAGACTTTTCTAAAATTTTTACTTAATAAAACATAGAAGTAAAATGTTACTCATTTTTTTTTTTTTAATTCTGCCATGAATGTACCGGTAGCATTTCCTAAGAGTGAAAAGATTAATATTTAATTGTGTAATTTTTCCTAGATTTTCCTATTAAAATGCTGAATACATTTGATGGGTTGGCTTCTTTATAAAGTCTTTTAAATTTTTAATGAAATTGTATTTGTTTTATAGAACTGGTTCTCCACTTTAGTAAGGAGAGTATTCAAACAATGCATCTATTTTTCTTGTCAGGAGAGATAGGATTGTTAGTACTGAAATTAAGGAAACCTTCCATTCTCATGATGTGGCCCTTTTAGGTCATGTCTATCAATGGCGCTTCCTTGATAATTCTAAACAAGCAGGTTAGAAAGACATTAGTTATTAACAGTCTTAACCCTGAAACTAATCTACTAATCTCTGACCAGTGTGTGCCTTAAATATTTAAATATTCCCTGTAGTTAGTATTTGAGAACACCCCACAAGTCAAGCCTGTCTCTGTGAATCCTATCTACAAAGGCACAAGTTAATTTAGAATACTTCAAGAGGAGTCAAAATTCAAAGAGCTTCAAGTCTACACCAATGAAATACAGATATCTCCTTGTTGACATTTTAATAGTAATCCTGTGCTATGGCAAATGGTTTCTAAAAGTACACAGTATAATAGCAAAGAAGTATCACTGATATTTCAACCTTGAATTGGGTCATGAGGGCAGTGACTGTCCTGTTAAAGTTCTAGTGTTTCCCAAATTGTCTGATGATAAGAATCATTGAATGTTAAGCATTGAGATTCACCCTATACATGCTGATTCAAATTTTCCAGTAGGAGAACTTTAGATGTTTCTTATTAAGCCTGACTGGGAAACACTGAGCCCTTCTCTCATTAATTCAGAAAGTTATTCCCCATTGTGATCAATTTCCAGAGACTTGTCAAGCTCTTTTAGATATTCCTCACATTAAAAAAGTATGAATTTCTCACTGAAAGTATTTTTCTCAATGTTTCCACTAACCAAATAGTTTATGCAAAAGTGTATTTAGTAAAGTGGGATTTAGACAATTAAAGGTGCTCAGGAGACAAATAACACTAATATATAAAGCATTTACATTTTTCTAAAATTTTACTATTTTCCAATCAAAATTACCAATGTCACTATTCTGTACAGAAAAGCATTTTGCAAACTACTTTGCAGTTAGAATTTTGAGGTAATTCCTTTACAAACAGAGAGGGAAATGACATGAAGGACTTACTTGATCTCTGGTTTTTAATGAAAAATAACTTTAATCTCTCTTTAAATGTGTTTTCGTTCATATAGAATTCAACTTGTACTCTGCAAACAAAAAATAAAAACAAATTTATGCAAGCTCAATTACACCTTTATTTTTATGAACAAAAATAAATATAAACGAACTCTTCAATTCTCTTATTAACCTGAAGGTATTATGACCTAAATATAACCTACAAGGCAAAAAAAAAAAAAAATTATGTCATTGAATACTTTATATTCATTGATTGAATTACATGCCACAGAAAATGAGAACTGAATGAAATATAGCATGATATATTGTAGAGAGAAATCACTAACTTTCTAATTTTAAAGGTAAGGTCAGTTCAAATATAATATGTAGTAAATGCAATTTTCTGTATTAACAAGTGAAAGAACAAACAAGCCTCGTCGTCAGAAAAAAGTGCCCGTTTATTGAGGAACAGCTCTGCACATTGATAGAGCCAGGGGTGTTTTGACAGTTATGACAGTTTAACGGTTTAATGGTTTGACAGTTGGCATGGGGTGCTTTCTTATTGGTAGGTAAGGATCATGTGAGCCAGCAAGGCTAGTCTGACTGGTGGGTAAGGATTATGTGAGTCAGCAGGGCTCACCATTGGACAGATATTTTTGGGGGATGGGGAAGTTAGTCTTTAGAGGCGGGGCGACTCCCAACAACAAGTATAACCAGTGATATAGATGATTCAAAACAAGAATAAAGAGAGTTTTAACATGTGTCTTGGGAATTATTTTGTGACAGTTATTTTCTCAATTTCTTTCTCCTGCTATAAGAATTAACTGGATATTTCAAAAATCCACAGCAAGACCAGCCTAGATCTACTGAATCAAAATCTTAAAACAGAGGGCCTATAAATCTATTTTTAACAAGCCTTTCCCTTCACCTAAAAACTTACTTGGGACATGACGTTATTTAACATGTTTCTTATTTATTTAAGTTCATCTTCCAATACATATGGATCAGATGGAAAGAGGGGACACCACAGACTGCAATAGAGTAAACGAAATTCCATGTATAAATAATTTTATCAAAATGAACCCAGTTATGCATAACTATAATTATTTATTACAGCAATATAATTATGCATAATACATATGAATCTGCAAAGGAGTGGTAATGGTAAGTAGAATATGAAACATAAATAGAATATAAGCAGATGACTCAAGTAATAAATAGAATTTCACATAGTTAATGCACCATAAAATAGTATAAACAGTCTTAAAAATTAAGACAATTCTAATGAATGATTTTGCTCTCTCTCTAAATCGTAGAAAACTGCTAACATTATAGCATGTTACATGCTATAATTACTATATTCCAATAGTTTAAAAAGAATTAAAGTTCTATTTGGTTCATGGTGAATTGTTAATGATCTTCAGTTTTCTTAATTGCTCTCAAACATATTTATTATAGGATTCTAAAAGTGCATTTTAATATTTACACAAACAACAGAAATTTAATTTAATTTTTCCAAATATCATAAGCTTTTGAAGATAGACACTATCTAGATATACACTAGATATCTGTATACAGTAGACAGACTTGGGGAGGTTTGGGGATTTTGTTGTTGTTGTTGTTTTAGGCAAAAGTCATATGTGAGAGAAAACAGGGGTGGGGGAAGTGACATATGAAGATGCTCATGTATTAGAGAACTTTTTGTCTACTATGATATCTTATATTTTCTCCATTATCCTATATGCTCAAGAAGCCTCATGAACACATGAAAAGTACCACTCCAGGGCTGGGTTCCTGGCTTAGTGATAGAGCGCTTGCCTCACGTGTGTGAAGCACTGATTCTCATATGAATAAATGAATAAAATAAAGATCCATCAACAACTAAGAAATATTTTTTTAAAAAATGGCAATCCTCCATGTCACAAAGGAAAACAGCTTTTTTATCCATCACAAACCACGTTTGTTCTGATTTTTTAAAATTTTTAATGATATTGTCAGTGGCAACATGTTCATACCTTTCTTTTAAAAAACTTGCATGTCCTCTAATTTTTTTGTCTTCTCCCTAAATATTGTATCCAAAAATAATTTTCAATTGCCTTTCATCATTTTCTTACTATCTTTTTTCTTCACCTTATATGTAAAATAGGAAAAAATACAAAGCAAATTTTTCTTTACTAGATCATTACTTTAGAAAATAAAAATTTAAAAAAATTCAATATCTTCCAGCAAATCAGTTCTAAATGCAAGCCTATATACATGCTCACAGCCCTGTAAACCTAAATGCTCACACATACTTCGAAATCCCCTGTACACACAAACAGACACAAATCCCCATTAATATCTGGAAATGCAACACTGGATCTGTTTTCCTTGTTTATCAAATGAAAAGTCAGTTCATTTTAAATAAAGATACTGTAATAGTAATATCAAGCTAAATTAGCTAAAATTTGTTATGGATACAAAAGCAAATTTGAGAGGACATATGGCTATTACACAAGTAATTTAGCAAAGGCCATGCAGATTTGCTTCCTAGAATCATCAAATTTGTAAGAGTATGCATCCATCCACTTCTCAGTATCTGGATGGAGTTCAGTACCAGCTACATACAGAGAAGCATTTTTGTAACTAAAAATGAGATCATCTAAAACATTAAACAAAAAGAGGGATCTGAAAATATATTACATAAGAAAAAATGGAAGGAACTAGAAAGACTGAATAGATAGAGTTAAGGGTTACACAATGGTTGTTTTTAAATATTGAGGTGACATCCATTATTAAAATGGAATGACTCATGATGTCATACATCACTGAACTGATACTAGAGAATATGAGAATTATGAATGATAATTACTCAATTTTGAAATGACCATCATTGTGAAGTGGAGAGATCTCTAATACACATAAATGTGCCAAAGACCAGATAACAGCTTGCAAGCTACTAGAATTTTTCATGAGAAGGCAATTTTGCATGGTATGAGGGTCTCTCCTTAAATAAATTCTGAATTCCCATCTGATTATTAATTATGTGAAGTGAAATGTTTAGCTAATCTACTGATCTCTCTAAGCCAATATTTTCACTGTGGAGCATAGAGGATATTAAGGCATAAAAATATACAAATGATCTTGAAAGCTAAAAACCAAAACCAGAAAATTTTTGGTTCATTATGTTAGGACAAGATAAACATCCTTTAGGCTTGCTATCAGTAACACAGAGTAGAACTTTGTTTTATCTGATCTAGTGACAACTCCTTCCACAACCAAGGCATGACAGTGATGGTATACACTTTGGGGACCCTCTCTATCACTACAGAGTTATACAGTACTCAAGGACTTAATATAGTTTAGTGATTACCCTTCCCAAATTTTTCCAGAATTTTAAGTTATTGTAAATATTCTTGGTATATCCTCTTCCTGATATAAAGATGCCTTTAGTTTCCTCCTTCCTTCCTTCTTTGCTTTCCTCTCTTCCTACCTCACTTGGCCTCCATTCCTCCATCTAACATTTTTCTAAATTTAGTTTCATCTAGTAGATTTTGTTAGTATACTCCTTGGAAACCTTCACCAAAACCACAGAGTTTTGAATAATACACTAAGACAAATATATCCCATTGCTTCTTAAAATTTCCTTTTTTTTTACGTGTTTATAGAAAAATCAAAATTTAGGATCATTTTGTAAAATTTATCCTAACACAATAACGTGACTGTATTTTATAAAAAATAAATTAGAATTATAATCATTATTAGGTGGTAGCTTCTATTCAAATATGTTCTCACTGTTAAATATTGTTATTTTATGCAAGTCACTAATATTTATTGTTTATTTAAATAGATCCTATACATTCACTCTGACACTTAATTCTGGACACTTTATTATTTTTTTCAACACTTTGTTCTGATTTTTAACTTTTTAATGATATTGTCAAAAACAATTATGGGAAACTCCCTTATTGGTAATGACATTTTTTTTCATGTTAATCATTTGAGTTTTCAGGCAGACAGTTATGTCATCTGGAAATATTCTCCACTACTTCTATTTCTATTATATTTTTTAATCTTATCAAGTGGAAAAGTAATTTAGAAAAAACAATAATTACGGTGTGCCTTTCTTCAAAAAGGATGTCTCTTGTCTTACAGGTAATTACTTTGCTGACACTAAGACCATAATATGTATTTATATTTTACTAAAATTTATATCAGATACAGATTCATATTTATTGTGATGAAAAATCTTCCTTGAATCTTTCAAGTTGATGATGCATTATGGCGTTTCTTCTGATTTGATGAATTATTCTAAAAGTTCTTCTATCATGTGGGTTTTTTTCCCCCTAAGAATAAGTTGTTTCTACAATAATATTCATTTTCTGCTGGATTCATTTTCCTATACATTTAAGAAGTTTTTTTTTCTACAATCATAACTAAAGATTGATGTGCCATCAACTTTAACTATTTTTGTATCTTGACGATAAACTAAAAAACTCTCCTGAGTTTTTTTTTGGAAAAACTTTAATTACAGTAAACATACTAAATTTTTGACTAACCTGGTACTATAGGACTCTCTTAAAGAAATATTCCACACAGAAAAAAAATTAAAAATCCTTAAAGATCACATAGGAACAAATCTCATTTAAGGAGTAGCTAAACAAATGAGAAACAGACCAAATTAAGCATTACAAATAAATCAAAATGTCAGAAAATAATACAGATCTCTCTATAATGACAGCAAATGTAAGTAGTCTCAACTTTCCAACTAAAACACATAAGCAGGCAGGATGAATTAAAAAAACAAAACCCAACTATATATGGCAGGAGATTCAACACAGCCAAAGGCCTAAAATGAAAGGATGGAAATTGATATACCATGTGAATGGAGCCCCAATACAAGCAAGAGTAGCTAATCTTATATGTGACAAAGCAGAATCCAAGCCAACATTAATCAAAAGAAATAAAGAAAGTAACTACATACTGGTAAAGGAACCAATCCAACAAGAAGATATAATGATAATAAATATTTATGCCCCAAATGTGAGTGTAATTAACCATATACAAGAGACATTATTTGAATTAAAGTGGCAGAGAGACACTAGCAAAATAA